GAGTATGTAACAACTGCTTTTTGAGACAGGTCTCTGGACTAATCTCCCTGATGATATCTTTGAGGTTCTAGCAGCACCTTCACCCGAGATGCAAATAGAGGGGAACCAGATCAGAACTTGGAGACTCACAGCAAACAACCAACCAAAGCTTCCTGTATAAACTATGCATAAACACAAAGAGCCTTTGTGAGGCAGTGTTTCACTCACAACTCTAGATGCAATAAAGGGGCATCGCTTCTGTTAGAAAAAAGTAAAGGTAATCATTTTATTGGTATTAACTTACAGACATTTGCCCGGCTAGGTGTCATGATTTTATCAAGAGCTCAAACCCACATGCAGATAAACCAATCCAGAGAGACAAGGGAAAAGGTTTAACTGGTTTATTGAGAAGTTTTGTGGGTATTCCAGTGTTGCTCTGAACACTGCTCAAACGGAACTGAAAGGTGAGGGGAAGACACTGCAGTTAGTTCAGGTTCAGTGGGACAATTTATTCTCGAACTTGAAGAGGAGGAAAGGTTGGCGCACTCACGTTTCCAGAGATTAGGTATACTCTTAGACTCCAGTAGGTGAGGAATGTGTCTCATACGGAGGAGGGCGGACAGGGTTACCCAGAACGTGGTTGTAGATGAACGGAGAAAGACTGAATGCCACTCAGATTTCCTGTGGTACGTGAACGGACTGTTCTGCAGATGAATCCCTTTCTCAGTGTGAAGCTCAAACGTTTCCTCGAGGAAAAGTGGATCCAAACCTCCGGTTTGTATCCTCAGCTCAGTTTGAAGCTCAGTGATCCTTCCAGGGAGAGAAGGTCCAATAAACCCAGTTTGCAGGATGACTTCCTCAGCTTGGTTAGAGTATCCAAAACTGGCAAACACTCTGGCGTCGAGGTAGTGGCACTCAGCAGCTTAAAAACACTCCGTTAACGAGGTAACCCCTTACAGGTGTGTGAGGAGGAGAATCAAAACCAGGCGCCGCCTGGTGGGGGAAGGAAGACAAACACACAAAAACACAGACCACACAGACTGGAGTCCTAACACTAGGAATGTTGTGTTGTTTTAAATTCAAACAGGGTGAGAAAATGTTTGTCAGAGGGAGATCAATACCCACGATAAAACTACACAAGGAACTGTCATGCTTTATTATGTGTAATTTTCTGACCCCTCCTGATTGTCCTTTCAAAACAAAAAATAAAAGCAGAAGACAGAAATCTTCTTACAGAGTTAACCACAGACATTCGGGGAGTGAAATGATCTGTCTGGGTCCACTCTCTTCTGCAGAAGCATTTTTGTGTTGCTTCCTTTCTAGGATAAGGGGGCGTTATCAGTAACCCTAACAGCCTGGTGCCGTGAGCCGGATCCCAACATTTCCACTTGTTGACTAGTGGAGCAACGCGTTGAAAACCACCGGTGGTCAGAGTCTAGGACCTGATGGGAAAGTCCTGGGTGGTAACCTTCTCACTGGGGCAGGGTCATAGGTTACCTCCTTTCACCAACAAGGGATTGACAGGATCTGACCTGGAGAGAACCAACCAAACTAAATGGATGTTAAGACGGGCGGTCTGCAAAGGTAGACGGGTATTTAAAGGTAAATTGATACGACTGGCATAAAATCAAATACAAACAGCATAGAAATAAAACAACAAGCCGGTCCCATCTAGGCGTCATCGGAGGAAATGACAGACGAAGTGTGCTCCTGATGTCCAGTCTGCTCCGTAGCACCGACTGATGTAATTGGGAGAGAATACCGCAATTTTTTATATTTTTCAAAATAAAACATCACTCAGACTCTAATCGTCTATAAATTTTTATATATATATATATATATATATATATATATATATATATATATATATATATATATATATATTTTTTTTTTTTTTTTTTTTTCTGTGTGGCCCGGTACCAAATGACCCGGTGGTTGGGGACCGCTGATGTAGAGTACTTCACCCACGTCTTGGGGTAGTTCACATGTTGTTCCGGCTTCTATTTTCATAAAAAAAAGATCAATGTTTTTACCTCTATGGCTTCTACCTAAGGGAAATCTGGTGCTTTTTGAAGAACAGATCATTTTAACAAAACCAAAATAAATGTCCTGTACTTCAATAAGGCCTTCTAGTTCCACAAAGATCCCAAATGCAACCAAAGGATCTGAATGAGACCTTCAATGTAAAAAATGTCCACACCTTCAATCCCTGACAGTCTGAGAGGTTTCTCCTCAGATATTAATTCTCCTTTTCATGGTTTGGACCATTGGATCGGTTTGTATCGTATAAAACTCTAATTAAAACACAAAAACATGCCAGTAAATTTTAATAAATGTGACCATGTTCATATAAATCTCATCATCACACAATAATAGAGATCCTGCAGTGTTAAAAATGAATTTATTATTATTGTTACCTGCATATTAATTCTATAACATTTAGTAGTTTGTTTGCTGTCACCAGTATTTAGCCAAATGGGAGGAGAAGCTCCTAGAGACAGTTATCACCAATGTGGCAGTAAAAGTTTAGTTCAACACATCTTTTTCAGCGACATCTTTTAGTGTTCATGATTGATAAATCCATGGTTATCATTTTGTCCTCCTCCCTATAAGTCCTAATCATTAACCTTACATCTAATATAATCTTAAACCTCAGTTTTACTTGTTGAAACCATTTCACCCTTTAAATCAGCCACTGTTTTAGTATTGATTTAATTTAATTGTCCTTTTATTGTGAAATTCTGCTGGTGTTGCTCTCCATCCATCCATCCATCCTGTCTGCTCCCTCTTCTTCAGCATTTTCCTGCACTGCCCATCACTTTGAATCGTTAACACACCTAAATCCATCCACATTCACATTCAGACATGAATCTTCTGATTTTTCTTACATGTTTAACATCTCTTCTGCCCAAAGCACACCTCTAAATCTCCAGTTTTCATTTCTATTGCTTTCTGATTTCAGTGTAAACCACAATATCATCTGCAATCGTTAAAATTCAAGGAGGCCTAGACAGAACTGCAAAATTTTACTCAATCTGTAGCTTCCCCTTTTTATAGGAAGTTGTATTCTAACAAATCAAGATGGGACAAAATTCATCGGAACTACATTTAAATTGATCTTTTCAGATTCTTCAGCCCCAATAAAGCTTCATGTCTCGAAGCTTTGTTTTTAAGAAACTTCCTCTTGAGCTAAGAGGAGGATGGGGGGGGGGCTTATTCTACTACTTACATTGACCATAAAGTTAAACTGTTTCATTCCAGCTGGAAATTTATATTTAATTTTTTTTTCATAACAAATAAGCTCTGTCTCCAATTCATCACTTCCTACTCTGAGCTATTATCAACATGTTATAAGTGGATAGTTTATTTTTTTTTGCCTTTTTGTAGACAAAAATACATTTTACAGTTTATTAATAGGCAGCATTCGTTATCTGATCTAATAGCTGCTCCAAATAGGATCTCACTCTGCAAACTGTGAAAAACTAAACTAAACGAAAGGAAACTATGAGTCATTTTGAGACCTTCAGGGGAAAAGAAGTAAAAATATCTGTTCCTCACATCCGCTTTTTCTTTCTGTAAAAACAAGGCATCTAAAAACAAGATAAAACACTAAACGGAGGAGGACTTGGCTTAAAACAATAATCCTTCAGTTATCATGTCCGTCTCTCCCTCATGGGGTTCTGGAGTAGCTCCTTTTTATCAGATCATTTTATTATGTATTCGATAGTTTCAGGAATTCTTACATTTAACAAAACTTTATTCATAATCCTGACAGTTACATCAACAGCTGCTGTGCTTTAAGCTGAGAACATGAATGCTAAAGCTCTGATGGCGGATCTGATCTTTATTTTTCTACATAGAGATGAAAACCTGAGCTCTCAGAAGCACTGGTGCAAATGCTGCAGATGCATCAAATATAGGCATTTATGTCATTATTTTGAAAAAAAAAACAGCAGACACAAGGATTTGGCAATAGTAAAAACAACATCCTACAGTCAGAGCACGTGTCCACAATCAAAAAAACAATCTCAAAATTAAACAAGGTTCTTCTGAGCACTGCAGAAAAAAACACCATGCAGGTTAACAGGAGATGGGAAAGGGAATCAGGTTATAAGATTTCAGATAAAACAGAGACATTTGTATTTTCCAGTGGTCTTCCACTATTTCAACAGAACCATTTCTGAATAACGTGATATGAAATTTAAGCTAAGGGTCATAGCTTGGCTTAGACCTACTTTAGTAGATATTAATCACACATCAGAAAAATTATTTAAACTAAAATTCCTCTTGATTAGAACTCTTTATCTTTGGAATGTGCAAGGGCTGACATAAAAGAGGAACATAAAGCTGCTGCATGTCTTCCTCACAGCAAGTAGGACATTTTTAGACTATCAGATAGTTCAACCCAGCACCGCGAAAGAAATATATACATTTAAAAAGATTATAAACTCCTTACATTTCAGAAGGAAAAATTAAAGCAGATTCATACATATATACATAACCTTACTTAGGGTAGACTTTTATTTTGTAATTTTGCAAGTAATCTTTTTTTTTTTAACTATGCTGAAATGTTTGATGCAGCTACCTGTAAGTTACCTCTGTTATACCTTATTTTACGCACGTAGTTAAATGTGTACTGAAATGTAAATATTTTGGGACAATTTCGTAGTTAAAAAAAATGCTCTGAAGTGAAGTAATTGGATGAGACAGAATTTTATGTGAGTTCAAACAAACTTGTGAGAAATAATGTGGACAGTGGCTTAAAGACGTGACCCTGAAAGGCCTGTTTTGGAAGGACAGACGCTGAACTGACTGAAATATTTAAAAAGGGCCTTAGTTAGCCCTCTCAGTAGGACACAAGGGTGTTTCCTTTTATTTATAATTTGTAGGTCGATGTGTATAGTTGTAAAAAATGACACTGAAATATGGTTTCCAAATAAAAATAAAATTATGAAAAAAAGAACCAGTATTTCTAAGGCTTCTGAAGTGGACCGAGACCATTTTCTAAACCGGAATGAACTTCACTCATTCACAAACATGTGTTTAGTTTTAGCTGCTTTCTCACAGATACTCTTCTGAGGATGTTTACAGGATGTAAAAAACCAGGACATCAGATCACCAGATCCTCCTTTCTCCCCCATCCTCACACAGTCTTCACCAACGCTACATTTGTTGCGCATGCTATCCGACCAAAATGTAAGAGATCTGTAGAAAGAGAAAACCAAATTAACACCAAAGTAGTTTTGTTCTACCAGCCTTTTTAATCAGTCAAACCTTTCATTTAATGTAGATCCATCCACCCAGAACCATGTGTGTTTTTCAGCTTTTGTCAGTCCAATCCAGAACTTGTCTGATTCATCCACAATCAAGTTGTTCAGTCTTCCTATCAGAAACATCTGAACAAGTGAAGATTTGAAAAAGATGATGACATGTGATGGTGATGATGATCAAATCTGTGAGAACATGAACCTGCAGCAGTGTTTCATACCTGCTCCTCTCTGCTGTCGATCTTCACTAGGTCTCCCCCCTGACCTCTGCAGGAATCTCTGCTCTCAGTCCAGGAGGACTTATAGTTGGAGAAATAATAACAGTTTCCTCCATGTAGCTCCCAGCCTGCTTCACACTCAGGAGGTCTCAGCACTTCAAACAGATCAGAACAAAGACTTCACTTAGTCAGGAGGAATATGTCTGTAGATGTTTGTGTGATTTGGGGGCAGCAGGAGGCCTCCAGTTACGATCTAACTTCCTGTATCTGTCGGTCTATTAGTATGTATAGCATGGCTGGACTTTGAGATTTTTTCAGGCTGAGATCACTGATTTCTTAGGTAGTAAAATAAAATAAGGCTGGGATCTGTTTTGCTTTCTGATGACCCAACTGATGAATTAAACAAGCTTTTATCAACCAAAAAGTAGTTTTTTATCAAATGTTTGAGTTCACCTTCAGCTACGACACTGAGTTATCGGAGCTCATCAAAGCGGCTCAGGTGTTTTAAAACTAATTAAGTCAGCCTGACTATAATTTATAGTATATATAAATCTGACTGCATTTTGTTCCCAATTCATCAAGTTTAAATGAGATTATAAGGTAGTTAATCAGAGGAGCTGCAGATATACAAATACAGGTTCATAAAAGGATTTTATTCTGTATTTATTTAGATTTCTTACTAACTTCAAGGCAATATACTTATCTTTTTTTTTTTTTTTTTGTTTAAGATGAAAAATATAAATGTATAAAATTTAATTCTCAAATTAAAAATTAAGTAAAATGTTCTTTATTTTAGTTATTATACATCCACACTTCTGGACAATCATCCATACTTTTGACTTAAGGGTGATTTATACTTCGAAACCAGGTCGTCTGCGTAGATGTCGCGGGGAACAGAGAGATGCCCCCATCCTCTCAGCAGACAGTCTGCTGCACCTCCCATCATTGTAGGTGACAGCAGACAGTGTCGCAGACAGGCGGCCTCTGATTTGTCAAATCTACATCCGCTCTATGCGTATTTTATATTGTTTAGTATCTTACCGGCTTGTTTTGTTTGTATGACCACCATTGTGGATAACGACTCGTGAAGTTGGAGCAGCTAGAAGAGCGAGATGCGTGAGAACGCTGGGTCCCTTTTTCCACCTGGATCCCTGCTCTTTTTTGCCCTCATGTCCATCCATTTCCTCACCGCCTCGGCCGTATTTAGATCAAGAGCTAGTTTCCCCTTTTGCGTTGTGGCGTGGAATAAACATTGCGCAGGCCACGCTTCAATATTGAGTACAAATCAGAAATGTCTGCGTCATACCTGCAACAAGCTCACTGCGACACTGCTGCGGGAACCTGCCCTTGAGAGGGGGGCTCATGGTACGAAAAATTGCCCAAAGCGGAACACAAGTAAAAAATGGTTGGGAAACACGGATGTATTGTTATGGTGCTCCCCTTTTGGGACTTTTAGTTTTCATTTATTAGTTATTTGGTTTTGTTCTTTGGTTTATTTTTCCATTATCTTCAAGCAGTCTTTAGTTACTCCCTGTTGCCCCCTTGTGCTTGTTTTCTTTCCCCTTGGCTTCCTTCCAGTGAGTTCCACTCACACATATATACACTGTTAGGATTATTCAATGATGAATAATCCTAACAGTATTATATGTGTGTGCATATGAAACATTGAAGTCCTGCTTCCAGCCAGTTAGACATTACACAGTCATTTCACTTTATGACCTGCCTTCAGCCAGTTGGTCATAAAGCAGGGTCATGCTGTTTTATGGCCTGCATCCAGCTAGATAATCATTGCAGGGTCTTCTGGCCTAAGACCCACCCATTTGCCTGTGTTCTGTTAACAAAAGACTCTGCTGTTTTGGTGGGGGGCAGAAAGGTGCTGAAATGTCAGCAGGCAGCCTTTCTCCTCCTGCAGGAAGCTGTGTTTGAAAATCCCTTTGTGTGTCAGATTCATTTTTGTCCTACATGAACTCACAATTTACAAATCTAACATACACCACCTTGAAATCACTCACTGCTGGTTCCTTGTTGATTGTTAGTTGCTTCCTCATCTCTGGCTTTTTTTTTTGTTCCCAGTATTTTTGTGTTTTGGATGTTTGCCTCAGTTTGCATTAAATCTAAGGCCCCGTCCACACGAAGCCGAACCCTGGCCTAAACGCACACATTTTTCACCAAACCAGCCTCTCATCCATACGAAGCCGGCGTTTCGGGGGTCTGTAAACGATCTTTTTTTTATTCAGCCTTCAGAGTGGGAAGATTTTGAAACGCCGTTTTCGCGTTTCCATCTTTAAGCTCTAACCGCATTTTTTTTTTTTACACGCATGCGTCATAGCGTCGCCTCTAAACACGCATGCGCGACACAGTATCACAACAATAATGGCGCCGTACTGTGTTGAATGGTTGCTGCTCATGCTACTCACCCTGCTGTCGGGCTTACAACAGAATCTTCTTCTTCTGGAATATCTCCAGGAAGAACAGAGCAATATCGACCACATAGTTCAGCACCTGAATTTGACTGAACCACGAAAATGGACCCGCAGGGCAACCATGTATAAATATTAGTGCGCATGCCCAACATTTCGTCGCCTATTTTTGCTTTGGCACGACAGCGCCACTTACAGGCCTGGCATACATTTTGCAGCGTTTTCATGCATTCGTGTGGACGATCACATTTATTTTACGTCTCCGTCTTTACGACAAACGTTCTGGAAAATATTAGCATTTCGTGTTCGTTTTGACTTTGTGTGGACGGGGCCTAAAACTCATCTCTGCCTCACTGCAACCTCACCCACCCTTGTTGACATCTATAGGACCTACTCTAATTGATAATGTTGGAATATACTGTAACTTTACTGCTGCAATTGCGATAGTACTAAGATAATAACGATTTTACATAATAATTAGTACCAAGGCTAGAGCTATACATAGTCATATCATGTCATATCATGCCTCAATGGCCAGTCATCATACCGGGGATAGGAGTAATGAACCCCTGCAGTAAATCCAAAGTTGGAATACACAAACTTTCATGTTTGATCTGGGATATGTAACTGCAAATCAGCAGCTGACAGAACAATTTCACAACACAATCACTTAATAGAATAATGCTGTAGTGCCAGTATTACAGCTGAGAGCCATTTATGTAAAATGGTAGTGTTTGGTGGTGTTTATGTCACTTAATGCATCTTGTTGCTCTACTGTATAAATGGTTCCATACCTTCTTCCAGATTCTCTCCTTCTCCTGAAGCACCAGCAAGACTGATGTCATCACCACCTTTGAATAGCAAACATATGATAACAGTGTTCTTCCAGTTTTAAATTTAAACACAAATAAAACGTGGTGCGTGATATTTTTTTTATAATTTACTCCTCACTTGCACCACTGGCTAGCAACACACATCACAGCAGCCGGCACCAGACATACAACACACACCCCTTCCTCCACACGTTGCTGTCTGTGTGGTTGATACGGACTGTTGGGGCGGGTGTCAGTTGAAATAAACCAATCGTCTCTCCCACCTCACATGCTACAGGCCTAAATGGCCTGGCCTGTCTATCTCCAGTGTTGCCAGATACGGTCGAGGTTTTCCAGCCCGAACAGCTGTTAAAAACCACATCGCACATCCACCTGACCAAATAATATATTGTTATATTTACTGTTTCAACATGAACACCCTTCAGTACAACTTAATTAAACACCACATGTCAAAATGCTACAACATCCAGCAAAATCTGCCCAGAGTAGTTCTCCATAAACAACTCTGACCCATCCACCACAGCGATGTCAGATCCTGTAAGTGTCATGTGACAAATCACATACAGGTGTCAGGAATCCATTCTTTGTGGGTTGTTTCTGTTTTTCCTTTTTTCCTCCACCAGGTGGTGCCCCATCCTCATTGGGCCTCCCTGCACACCTGCAGCTCGTTGCCTCATTACCTGTGGAGTGCTCTTAAGCTGCTGTCTGCCACTACCTCATCGCCAGCGTGTTTGCCAGTTTGGGGAAGTCATCCTGCAAACTGGACGTTTCGGCCCTTCTCTCCCTGGAAGGATCGACTGATCCTCAAACTGAGCTGGGGATTCAAACTGGAGGTGTGGATCCACTTTCCTCCAAGGTATCGTTTGAGCTTCACACTGAGCAAGGGATTCATCTGCACCACAGTCCGTTCAAGTACCGCGGGAAATCTGAGTGGCAGTCAGTTTCTCCGTTCTTCTACAAACAACCGCATTCTGGGTAAACCCTGTCTGCCCTCCACCGAATGAGACAAACACTGGAACACCCCACACCGACTGGAGTCAAAGAGTCAACCACTTTTCTGGAAACTTCCAGTTGAGCAGTGTTCAGAGCAAAACTGGAATTTCCAAAAGCTTCTCAATAAACCTGTTAAACTTTTTCCCTGGTCTGTCTGTATTGGTTTCTCTGCATTTGGGTCTGATCTTTAGTTAAATCATGACAACAGGTATTAATGGGTTTGCAGATGGATTCATAACCACGTAGACTACTCCTCTAATTACATTTAGAAGACAAACTATGATCACTGCGCACACACAAATGTGCTACGCTTATTTTTACATAACAAATAATTGCAGTTATTCTGGTTGATTTTGAATTCTTATCTTTAATGCTTATTAGATTGTTGGCTGGAATGTTGAACATCTGAACCCTGAATTTTTACTCCAATGAACTATAATACAATCCATTGTGATTTATGATCAGTACATGGTTGAATGAAATCTCCCTAATAACTGTCTTGGAGGACGGAATGTTGCTGATGTCCATCCATTCTGTGTTAGTCCAGTTCGCACATCCATCAAACTTGACAGGAACGGCAGGCCCTTGCAATTTCTGGATTCATCTTTAAGCAGAGCAACTTGTGAAAAAGCTACTACTCTAGTTCTCTGTTGTAAACACCCTGGCAGATGACATTAGCCAATCAGTGATGGAGAAAGGTCAGGAAGGCTTTGCTATGAACCAGTAATGATGAATGATTAGTGGACATGTGTTTTAATGGGTTACCTCAAAAACTGCAGATCTGACTCCGAACAAGCGAAAATTATCTCCACCCGCCCAAAGAAATGTTTACCCTCAAAATCCAAATGAAAAACGCCCAATCTGGCAACATAGCACCGCTGCTATACCGGCAGACTTAAAAAAAAAAAGAGAGACAGAGAGACGCAGGCCAACAGCCCAATCCCAGGCTGGCGCTTCAGAAATACTCCCGGGTCTCCCTGTGGTCTGTCCGGGAATGACTACCAGAATGAAAGCAGTAATAGTACAATTAAAATCCTGAGGTTACTCTCTGAATATATGAAATATAAAGTTGATAACCTTTTCTGGGTGCGGCTTTCAAACCCTCCCAATCTCACCTGAGAAAAAAGTGCTCAGATCTTCATTCTCCTCTTTCAGGGTCTGAACATCTCGATTGCTCATCCAAACAACAGCTGATTCCAGAAAGACAAAGGTAATTTTATTTTCACTTAAATTGAACCCTGGTTTGCCATCACAAAATATGAACTTTACATTTGAGAAACTTGATTTGAAAGAGAGATGAAACCGATCTAAACTCACAGAGTCTGTAGATGATGATGAGAGCAGCAGCCAGCAGAGAGCCCAGAACCAGCAGGACGACTCTCACTGATGGCAGCCTGGAGGTTCTGGTTGGGTTTTCATGTTGAGAGGCAGGAGCTTCAGCTGAGGAGCATTTAGAGGAGAACCAAATCAGAACCTGGAGACAGACTCACAGCAAACAACCAACATCTGGGACCTCACGTATAAACCATGAATACACACAAAGACCCTTGTGATGCAGAGATCATACACAATTCGGGATTTAAAGAAGGAAGATATTTAAAGCTTGCAATAATCCAAGAAACCTTTATCCTTGTCATGAAAATGTGCAGCCACCTTCCCAACAAAAAACTAAACTAATGTCATGACTCAGAACAGAGGGGCTCAATATTCAGGGCAAGACAAAACATGGGATAACTCAAAAAGCGTTTATTTAAAACCAGCGGATTGGAGTTGCAGCAGCTAGGACATCTAAGGCAGGAATCTCTGCAGGAGAGAAACACAGGTTAGTGACCATGATAATCTGACCGGCATGATTATCCATGTGAGTCACTAACCTGGTTTACAAGTTCAGTCTATGCCCAGAGAATGAGGTAGGATCTAGCCGGTGGGCTGCCAACAAGATGTGGATGCCGCCCAGAGTGTCCCAGATGTTGCAGCCCCAGATAACATGCAGGAGACCAAAGCCAGGTCAGGCAAACAGATCAGAATAGGAACACGCAAGCTAAGAGCTCCAGGGGTCCGAAGCCAGGTCAGGCAAACAGATCAGATAGGAATAGGCAGGCTTAGTGTTCAGAGGCAGAACAGGTCAGGATCAGGTAATCAGAAACACACAGGTAAGCTAAAAACACTCACATCACTGAGATCAGACAGGAAAAGGCAAGCTAAGTGGTTTAGAGGCAAAACAGGTCAGGATCAGTACAACACTAATTTACGCTAAAAACAGCCTCACCACTGGCACAAGAGAACAAAATAATCTGATAACTGGATGCACATGTAGAATAAAATGTACTTTGGGTCTAAGGAGGATAAATATAGATTCAGTCTGTGTAACGATATCATATATTTCTGCTAAATATTTTTGTTTTAACCAAAGATATGAAATCAGCTTCTGCTTTGGTGAAAATAGTTTCATATATCTGTCTTTTATCGTGTGCCGCCACTAAATGTTAGTAAGAAACAAACACTCTCTTATGTATGAAGTACCTAATCTGATATCTACTCTCAGTCAAACACACTGAACAGCTTCCTCACTGATGTGTTTTTATGTAGTATCCTCTTTATGAACAGGAAATCACTTCATGCTTTATGATCATGTTGTGTTTCCATGGTGACCTGCTCAGCTTGTTTCTGTTTTACCCTCAACATTACTAAAGGTTGTTTTATTTTATTTTTTAACTGTTTTTATATGCCTGTCATCATAAAGATTTGGAGCCCAGCTAATTTTAATCTGGAAGACTCAAGTCTTAACTGCACATCCTGATTGCCAAATCAATCACTCTGATCCACCTCTGCCAGTCTTTTCTTTTTCTACAAGCTTCCTTAACAACAGATGGCATCATAGACTCCTTTATAAACTTCCTCATTAGGGTTAAGTTCCTGCCTGCAACCAGCTGCAATCCACATCTGCCCCCTTCACCGCTCTGGTTTACCTTCTACTCAGTTCACTTCCATACATCCTCCAGTATATCAGCAGGTAGGACATTTCCATTCACATTACATGTACCCATAGTATGATAGTAAAGCAATGCACAGCTGATTTGAGGGCCAAAATATCATAAGAATTGATTTCAAAATCTTTAATTGCCTGCCTTTAGTTTGAAATGTATTTCTCACTTGTTGTAAACAGCTTCCTCATTATTTTCTGCAGTGACATAGTTTTATCTTATTGCTAAATATGAATGTTTATAGATCATAAACTGTCATTCAAATGTCAGGTTACCTTCTCAGGCTTTCTGCTAAGATCATGTGGTATATCTATTCCTATCAGTTTAACCTCTGATACTTCCTGTATATGAGGACTGCCTTGGAGGAAGTATTCAGTTCAAATCGCACAGTTTGCCACTGTGGGTTCCTGAGAAAGACCCTTAGCCCAAAATAGATCCTCAGGCACTTCAACCTACCCACTGCTCCCTAAGAGATCAGTTAAATGCAGGGGTAAAATGACATTGTAATGTCACCAATAAAATGTTTTATCCTTAGAAAAACATTGAGTTTCCATCCAAGCATATCTGATCTAATCTATAAATAAAGCATTACATTTCAGTCCGGTTTGTCTGATGACTACAACTCAGCCTCTGACTGCTTTTTCTTGATGTTACCTAATCTATATGTTTCTTACCTTCCTCACAGCCCTCCGGATGTCTCATGATGAGGACACTTTCCACAGATGACAATTCTATGTCAAAGAAAGAGACGTCTTAGATTTTCTGCTGAAGCTAAACAACAATTAAACTTTAAGAATTAAATCTTCTTGTCTGAAAGCGGACATTATAATCAAAGTTTTCACCTGGTGTAATATTAAAGGCGTTAGATTGTCTTTTAGTATTTTTTAGCCAAAAATATATGTTGAGCTCTCCTTTATTGCGTCCGTTTATAAAGATGATCTTCGCCTTGTCTCTTCACAGCGTTTTCTTAAAAAGACTTCCCGTTTAAGGCTTAGGCTACTCTTTTCCTTCCCCTTTCCTCTTTCATTTAAATGTCTTAAGCATTTTGCTCTTAGTTTTTTTTTTACAAATACAAATTTAATATAATTCTAGTAATAGTGAAGCTAGTTTCTTCCCAAAGTTCCCAAAGTAAAATTTCCATCATGTCACAGACTTGTAGCATTTGCTCCACAAGGATGAATATCTAGCAAAGGCAAACAGCTGTATGCATTCTTATAATGACAACGGAAAGAAAAACTCCCCAGCAACATTTTCAAACATCCAGCAGAACCAAATCCTGGCACAGCGAACAATCTTCTGTTACAATAGGTTGCTTTGAAAAGACCCAGCAGACAAAAACTAACACAGCAGCAATGATCCAGGAGTACTTCCTACTTATTTAAGATAAACTAGTGAGTTAATGGCAGTATTAGCTTCTATAGAAGCTTGGTGGAGAAACCTAAATAAATAGATAAAGTAAAAGTCAGTTTATAGTTTATATAATAAAGTTGGTGAGTAGAGTTATTAGCTGCAGCAGCTCCGCAAATGCCTCCCATTGGAGGTAGACTAGGTTAAACAGATGAAGAAGAGGTCAAATGTGCTGCAGCATTAGCTCAGCGTTGTGTCAGAAAGTCGACCCTAATCCATACATAGAGCACTATATAGCGGTTACACCATTTTAAATCAGTGTCCGAACGCCTAGTGGATTAAAAACAGTGATGGGACTAACGGCTTTGAAAGTAATGGCGTTACTAACACCGTTTCCTTGTTTTAGTAACGAGTAATCTAACTAATTACTTTGACTGTAACTATAACGCAGTTACCATTGCAGACACCCCATTACTGCGCGTTACTCAGGTCGCACAATGAACCTTTTTTCATGATAGGACTCGTGCACAGCTGCGTGAAGCTGACACCCCACCCACGTCAAAAAACTCTGCAAATAGACTGAATGGGTAGTGCAACGTTAGTGCAGATTTGTGCAGAAAAAAAATATTGTTTGTGCTACTTTTGTTTAAGAGATATTAAAGATTATTTTTTAGGTCATCCAGAGGTGCGCATCTTGTCATGAGAGAGGGGAGGATGAGAATGGCTAATGTATAGTGAGATTCCGTCTGTCAGTTGGGTAGGTGGGTGTTTCTGCTGGTGGGTGTTAACGTACAGCACACACAGAGAGATGGAGAGTGAGGAGGATCCAGCAACAAAACAGCGTTTTCCTGATGGAAATACCGGTGTTACCTCGAGCTGCGTTTCCCCATCACATACAGTTTCCTCTGCATCTCCGCACAGCGCAGGCGGCAAGAGTCACCGCGCAAGCGACAGGAAACGCGCATGCTCGCTAAAGGCGCGCAACAGTCGCCCTGTGCTCGCGCCACAGGAGAACGATGGAGAGCGTGAACGATTAAATGAAAGGGAGAAATCTGGATGGATGGATAGATGGATGGATGGATACTCTGCCTTTTCTACCTACTGTATTTTTTATTTTAAACATTATTTGATGGCCTTTGTGGCAGGAATGGAGATCCATATTTTATGTCACACGCAGAGTATACATCTAGATAGATAGATGGATAGATAGATGTTGCAGTATCTATAACAACCCAAACACACAGGATTTCAGAATTAGACATCCCCAGTTATTAATTTCATATACTCACCGGATCTGAATGTCCTGTTAAAAACCTTCCCATGGCGTTCCCCCCTGATGTCATTTACGTTGAGTTGCAATAAATGCTAAACTCTCTGCAGGTTCTTGTCTTTGTCGTCCGCTCTATTCAGCTGGCTTTGGAAACACACCGCGAGAAGGTGGGGGCTGGGTGGTGAGGTTTACGGGGCGAGAAACGCAAAAGTAACGCAATTGTTACTTTTACTAGTAACTAGTTACTTTTATTGTGGAGTAACTCAGTTAGTAACTCAGTTACTTTTTGGGAGAAGTAACTAGTAACTATAACTAATTACTTTTTCAAAGTAACGTGCCCAACACTGATTAAAAAGTAATGGACTTGAAATTTTGCACGTGTTGACCATCCATGGTCAAAACTTATTATTAAGTGTTGTAAATAACATAATGATCAACTGCAACAGTAGGATACATGCAAGCTGGCAGTTTATGACTGTGTTCAACTTTTGATTAGTAACTAGAAACAATTCCTCAATTGGCAGCAATGGCAGCTGAGAGGACAGATGATCTGCAAACCCAAAACCAGAAAAGTTGTCACGTTATGTAAATCGCAAATAAAAACAATACAAGGACTTGCAAATCTTTTTCAACCCATATTCAGCTGAATACAATGCAAAGACAATATATTTAATGTTTGAACTGAGAAACTTAATTTTGTTTTGCAAATAACCATTAACTGTCACGGTTTGTTTGGAGGTTTTTATGAGGACCCAAATGCAGAGGCTGACAGGCAGGGGTGAGTTCTTAAAAGGTTTAATGGAGATCAGGAAGTAAAAACAGGAATTCAAAAATTCAACTTAAGGTAGGACTAATGAGCTGATAAGGAGCAGGTGTGAGCAGAACTGGTGAGGAAGCCAAGGGAAAAGAACACAAGGGGGCAACAGAGGACAGACAAAAAAACCTAAGCAACTTAAATGAATCCAGACACCAATAAAGCAAGAAAACAAGGAAAAACCTGGATGAACTTGAAACTGAAAACTTAGAGAAAAACAACAGAACCAAGATCGTTACATTAACTCAGAATTTAATGGCAGCAACACATCACAAAAAAGTTGGCACTGGGGCATTTTTACCACTGTGTTACATCGCCTTTCCTTTGAACAACACTCAGTAAACGGTTGGGAACTGAGGAGACCAATTTTTGAAGCTTTTAAGGTGGAATTATTCCCCATTGTTGCTTGATGTACAGCATAAGTTGTTCAACAGTCCGCGGTCTCCATTGTCATATTTTACGTTTCATAATGCGCCACACATTTTCAATGGGGGACAGGTCTGGACTGCGGGCAGGCCAGGGGAGTATCCACACTCTTTTGCTATGAAGCCACCCGGCAGTATCACGTGCAGAATGTGGCAAAGCTTTGTCTTGCTGAAATAAGCTGGGAGGTCCATGAAAAAGACGTCGCTTGGATGGCAGCATATGTTGCTCCAAAACCTGTATGTACCTTTCAGTATTAATGGTGCCTTTACAGATGTGTAAGTTACCCATGCCTTGGGCACTAATGCACCCCCATACCATCACAGATGCTGGGTTTGAACGTTGCGCCTATAACAGTCCGGATGGTTCTTGTCCTCTTTGGTACGGAGGACAAGACGTCCACAGTTTCCAAAAACAATTTGAAATGTGGACTCATCAGACCACAGAATACTTTTCCACTTTGCATCAGTCCATCTTAGATGAGCTCGGACCCAGAGTAAAAGTTTAACAGGTTTATTGAAATAATCAATAAGGTTAATCCAGGGTAACTCAGAGAGCTGGAGAACCAGAACTGGAAGTGAGAAGGGAAGTTCAGAGGTTAATTCAGGGTCTGTGGGAACTTTGAACAACGTCTTGCAAACTCAGAGATGAATGGGACTCACGTTAGCAGAAAAAGGTTCTCTTCCCAGAAGAGGGTGGGTTTATCCAGAGATTGGGGGGCTCGTTGGAGGGCGGACAGGTTTTTGGTTTGGTTGGTTCCTTGAGGAGCAATGGGGCGGACTGCCACTTAGATTTCCAGGAAAACTTGAACGGGTCGTGTGGAGATTAATCCCCTGCTCAGTGTGAAGCTCAAAACAATCCTTCCAGGGGGAGAAGGCCAAAAATCAAGTTTGCAGGATGACTTCCTGCCGAAAAGGCAAAGACAAAAACAAGGTTAGAACTCAGAGAGACAAAAACTCAGTTTGACTCAGCTAAACTCAGCTTGGCTAGAGTACCCAAAACTGGCAATCGCTCTGGCAACGAGGTAGTGGCAGTCCACCACTTAAAAGTATAGTACACCCAAAACATGATTAGCCTTCATTTTCTACTCACCCCATGCTGAACAACACCCTGGAGATCTGGGAGGCTTCTTGCTGTCTGCTGACATTCAAATAATGGAGGTCTATGGCGCCCGAGGCAGAAAGGTCCATAAAAGTCCACAAAAAACGTTTCAATATTCCTCCATACTGCTCGTCCAATGTATTCCAAGTGTCCTGAGTGGGTAGCATCCAGAATTTACTCGAAACAAAGTCATTTAGAATGTTTTTAGAGCATAAACAGTAGTGTATAGGATTTCCTGAAAGCGCGTTCACGACGCTACGGAAACCGCGGCAGACCAAACCAGATGAAAGTGCGCATTCAGCTCGGCAAAGAACTCATGCTCTTCCTCAACACTGAAGTCCTCAGACATTTTTCTTTCGTTGTTTCTTTCTCTGCACAGGTAAACAACACATTTCTTCTTCTACGCTTGCATTATTGGCAGAGCAGACGCTGAATGCGCACTTTCATCTGGTTTGGTCTGCCGGCTTCCGTAGCATCGTGAACGCGCAGGTGCGCGCTTTCAGGAAATCCTATACACTACTGTTTATGCTCTAAAAACATTCTATATGACTTAGTTTCGAGTAAATTATGGACGCTACCCACTCAGGACACTTGGAATACATTGGACGAGCAGTATGGAGGAATATTGACACGTTTTTTGTGGACTTTTATGGACCTTTCTGCCTCGGGCGCCGTAGACCTCCATTATTTGAATGTCAGCAGACAGCAAGAAGCCTCCCAGATCTCCAGATGCATTTGAGATATCAAAAAAGTACTCCAGAGTGTTGTTCAGCATGGGGGTGAGTAGAAAATGAAGGCTAATCATGTTTTGGGTGTACTATTCCTTTAAGAGTCCTCAGTAATGAGCACAACCAGCCGCAGGTGTGTGGGAGGACCAACGAGAACAGGGCGCCACGTGGTGGTGGAGGGAGAAAACACAAAAAAAAAACACAACCCACACACACTGGATTCCTAACATTAAGTATGTTGTCTTTGCAGTGTATTCAGTTGAATATAG